ACATATAAGTTACTAATAAACTTTTATAGATAAAAAAACTCAAAAGTATATAAATAATATCTACCTATAATCTATATATGATATTTTTTAATTAAACATTTTTATAAAATTTTAATAATTTTAAAATTTGAATATTGTTTGGAAACCTTATATTTTCCAACATTTTTATTAATTATTATTACTATTGATTAATAAACATTTAATAATAATCATATTAAATGATCCAATTTTTTTTTTTTTTTATAAATGTTAGATAGATCACTACAACTATATACAATATATTATGTATATTTTATACCTAAATGTTAGTGATGGTTGACGATATTCCTCTTGAACTTGAACTTGAGATAATTTTAAATTTAAATAAACCATTCAAGTCTACTAATTTTTATTTATAAATTAGTGAAAACTTAACATCTTATGGATCTTAAATTTTCAATCATGTCGTTTATCATCCAAACTCTGTGCAGTTTGTTTCCAAGAATAGCAACCGTTTATGTTTGTGTTTTAGCAACGATTTGTCAAATCTGCTAAGGGGAGGCTGTCAAGAGAGCTCGTAACTTTATTGTTTCCTTTCTCGCGATTCTTGCGATTTCTCACGCCACCCGGTGCAGTCGATCGACGGATGTGGAGTGTCAGAAAAATATTCACATAATCTATCGTTGAACAATATTATAATTATTACAATCATTATAAATAAATCATGTGAAAAAATGTATATTTAGTTTCAATTCATTATTTTAAAATATTTGACCAAGAAAGTACAATGAGTAGTTTTATAAAATTGACAAGCCTATAAATAGAGTTAATAAAATCACCTTAACCATCATCGGTGGTAGGTAGAAAATTGGATTCATTGTACCTACGTGAATTTCATGCTTAACAATAATGTGTTTGAAGTAGAAATGTACAAACACTCATCGATAAAATATGACAAATTGTCTAAACTTATTGTTACCAACTGTTCGCACACTCATCTTCAAGAAATTCATAATCGGTATCTCGTAAAATACATCTGATGTGTTTCATTATAATATTTTACAATACAATATAAAATGTTATGAATTATAAAAATACATTATAACATTCTACAATAATGTATAAATATAATTAATTATAACTAGGGCTCGGAAGTTGTAGGAGCTAAAAAAGACAAAATAGGCACGAAAAAATTATAAAATATGCATTAAAAATGATGTTAAACATGCAAACAAATTATTCTGAATTCCAAAAAAAATAAATATACATCAGATATTGTTAATAAATTAATAAAATGGTAATATACCTACATAAAAACTGTTTATAACTAAAAAAAAATTATAATTGATTTTTAATATAATTAAAAATATTTTTTAAGTATTTTTAAAATTACGATAAATACCTTCCTTGAAAATGTTAATGAGGTTTATATTCAATAATAATTTAAATATACAGGTTAAAAATGAAAAAAATCAATTTTTTTTAGAAAAATATGAAATATGCATAGGTAATATGCGTATAAATTATAAAATCAATGAAACATACAGGCACTTTTTTCAGCTAAAATTGACAAAATATGCATTTTCATTTTTCAATTTTTTAATTCTCTATTGTATAATTCAGATTTCTAACTTGGCCTGCTATAAATTGAGAGCATACAGAACAATATGCAATTTCTACAACTTCCAAGCTCTAATTATAATTGTTGAAGTATTAATAGTGAAACATATCGCAATTATTATTTTTATGTGCATTAACGGTCTGCATATCAGTATATAAAATTCAATGTAAAAAATTAATTCCACTACTACTTGAAAACTTCAGTGCACTTTTTGAGTATAAACTCAAAGATATTAGATGTGAAAATAAAAAACAACAAACGATTTTTATTATTTTGTAGTTATGTTATACCCACTTACCTATTTAATATTACTGCGATATGATAGTAATTACTCGAAGTTAGTTTTAAAAGCTTAATATTATTTACTATAATATAATATGATACATACAATTTTTGAAAGATTACAAAATTGTGTGATACAAAATTTAAATTAAAAATAAGTTAATAAATATTAAATAATTAATTTGTACCTAAAAATATATAAAATTAATAAAATTTATATTTTTAAACTTTAAATTATAACATGACATCAAAATAAAATTATACTTTTTGTTGTTAGTGGAAAGAAAGGTCAATTTATTAAAAATATACAATTTTTTCATTATCTATGATCAAAAAAATCATTTAAAATTCGATAAAATTTTAAATATCTACTACAATGGTAATTAAATTTGAGTTTGTAAGATATGGTCCAACTTAAATATTTAGGTAAATAATAATTTATTTTTATACATAAATATTAATATGTTCTATATATAAAAGAATACTTAATAAATAATGCTAAATAAACTGATCTAACATTAACATTTTAAATTATTCAAAAATCTACAAATTTTTCCTGCAAACAAAAATAAGAGACTAATTTTATAATTTATGCCTTAAATTGTATCTTTCATATTTCAAAAGTGCGCCATAAATCTATTAAAAACGATTGATACAATTACTATTTATTATTTGTATTCCCAAAATATATTTCGTTTTCATGTCAAACATTAGACAGTTAATTTTATTTTATGTTTATTAAAAGATAGTGAAAAAAAAATCAAATCGAAACCGATATAATCTTAAAATGTTAAATAAAATAGAATTATTTGTGTAATTATTTTGTTTTGTTCTTTTTTTAAAAAAACAAATAACAAAATAGGGACTTCTCAAACAGGACAAATAAAATGTAGCATAAAAAAATAAAAATATAAAGATATAAAAAATTTTATTGGCTTAAAAGTTTAAAAAGAAATACAAAATTATTCTGCCATTTAAACAAAATTCCACAAAAATCTCGAAAGAGTACCAATGTAATTGGTCTCACGAGTAAATTTCTGGGTTCTTTATTTTTAATGCAGATTTTTCTCTCTAATTCTACAACGGGTTTATATTATTATTCTTTGTTACCGTACCTGTATGCATGTACGACTCGGTGAGGTGTACGATACAAGCAGGCAATGGGGTATTGGTAAGTTCAGTGCCTTAAGGTACCCAATATCCATATATGTATAATCAGGGCTTGCAAACGTTAAAAAAACGTTACGATTACAACGTTATATTTGACAAAAAAACGGTTGAAATTTGTTAATGTAATTATAACGGAAAACAATAAACATAAATAATTAATTAACACAAAACAATACATAACGATTAACAAAATATATGATATATCATTAAACAAAACATAACGAAAAATGTTATATATAGTATATCATTAGACGAAATAATTAATTTACAATCATTTAATAGTTATCAATATAAATTATAATACTGGTTACGTGAAAATATTTATTTTACGCGATTTATTTTTATTCAACTAAGAACTAATTTTATTCCGTATCTGAGCTGCTATTACCGCATTAGATGTTATTTTAAAATTTAATAATTAAGTATAAATAGGATAATTTTATTGCCACTAACCAATAATAATAACAATTATTAGTGATGCCCCATACAGTAATGTCCTGACATTATTAAACTATACTACGGTCGTAATTTTAACTATCCAACTTTTGTATTAAGTTTGCTCAAAATTATTGAGGTATCAGTGTTGAATACATTTTATTATTACACTAAAAAGAAATTTTAGTTTTAATTATTTATAATTATTTATATTTTTGGCTAAACATTTTTATTTTTTTGTCTTTTAAGTTAGTGTCGAACGTAGCTTTTCTGGTTTAAAATTTATATTGTCCGAATTAAGAAGTTCAATTTTTAATGATTTATTAAAAGATAATATATTAATTATTAGAGAAAACAATCAATAAAATATAAAATGTATATTATTTTTTTTTCAAATATATTCATGAATATATTACATATTATTATATTGATATTAGACATAGGTATTTATTTTATTATTTATGAATTTAATATGTACTATTTTATAATAGTAGTATTATAATAGGTATAAACTATGTATTCTATACTTTAATATTTCTATACTCTATACCTATAGTACATTAGCTATCTAGATACTTTTATATTGCCAATATAATAACATTAATAACATTGTAACAACAGCAATTATAGATGCTGATTTTTTAGTCAATTATAGTAAGATTATAAATAAATACTGCCAAAGTATACCGAAATAATCAGTGCAAAATATAAATTCCTGTAATCTTGTGTAAATGTTATTTTTATACACAATATTGTAAAAAAATGTATTTCTGAATAACGATAAACGCAAAATTTGTACAAATTTTTAATTGTAAATAACGTATAAAGAATTTTTTTTCAAATTCAATCCTTGTGTATAATACAATTCTGTTAACATCAATGAAATTCTCAAATCTTACTAAAAAAATTTTAAATTCTGATATGTGTATATGATACAAATATATAAACACTATAATCTAAATATGCTTGTATTAATTTCATATTTTTACAATTGTTACCCAGATAGGTAGATACGTAATTTGTATTGGTATTATAAAAAAATATCATGTATATACAAGCCATACCTAGATACAGAAAACGTCTGATTAAAATAAAAAAAGACTTACATACTTAAACTTCATATTTGTTGGTTTTTGCGAAACGTACGTCATATTTCGAGTGCAACGGCTTTTTTCATCGCACTTAGGAATTTCAAGCGTAATAAGCATACTACGCAGACATTTGCAGCAGTTACCTCTCACTGCAGTAGCCCTTCCTCTTTTCTTCGCCGCCGCCAAATAAAATTTTATTTATTGCGTGTAAAATAGATGTTTAAATGTTAACATTTAAGTACACTCCTGCGTATAGGATATAGTATGTACACCACATGAAATAATATTTTGTCATGGGTTTATGCGGACACGCGAAAATTCGCGCGTGCGGCGGATGCGGTGGTGATTTTTTTGCTTTTTACCACTATTACTTTTTTATTTTTTTTTTAATATCAAACAATGCGTGTGTATACGTGTTTCAGGCGACAACAATGGGCGGCCGGCTTTGAGCAAAAAGCATAAAAACGGATCTACCAGCGTCCATCCCGCACTAAGTATGACGGTCGCAGTTTGGATAATAATAATACAAAGGATTTTTTCGTTATGAATTCATACACTACACATATAGCCGCCGCAACCTGGGCGAAAAGACACGATGGAGCGGGCGTATGCGACACCACTGCTGCAGCACGCCACGATAATGAAAGAAAACTAAGGGTAAAAAGGCCCTTTTCGTTGTAAAAATGTATATTAATGTTTTATACATAATATTATTACATTATGAGATACTACGTAACGCGTGTATTCCGTTATTTTTTTTCTTTATTATTATTATTGTTATATTTTTTTTTTTTTTTTCATGAGCCTATGTGGTAGAAGAAAATTCAAATAAATGTGTATGATATAACTAATGTATGAATATTGTAAATGTATATACGTATATAGGTACGTACATTTAATGTCTGTGTTTCGAGTCCAAAATCTTTATTATTTCTCGTGAGGGACTTGTCTCAATATTCTAAGGACAAAACGTTTGGCGCTAATGGTGTTCTCTGAAATAAAATTTAATTTTCACCCCAGGGGAGTGAAAGGTTGTGGCTCGTTTGCGATCTTCGGTGCTGCGTGACGTATGTATCCAAGTACACAGTGCAGACGCCTCAGGTGGGGTACGATCGTAAAAGTGGGTAGAAGATCACGGGAAAATAAAGATAAAAAAAAGGTAAAAACGGAATAACCGGAAATAGCAATCGTTATATTTTTTTTTCACTACCCTTCCATAACGTACACTCTGTCTTTCATCCGTTAAGAACAATCTTTTACGAGCATACATTTTTTTCTGTGTCGAAAACATTGTTAACATATACAGCACAATAGGTAGGTACCTCCTAGTAGAAAATATTGACTCGAATGCTGTTCGCTAACACGTATTATTCGTCCGTTCTCAAGACAATAGTCTCTTGTATGGCACATTATATGCAGAATAAAAAAAAACAAAAGATGATTTTCATAGTAAGATTATATTTTTTTCCGTTATTATTTGTTTTATTTACAAGGTATCATGTATACATTTTTTTTAAAAGCTAGTTACACTTACATCTTATGATGTGCATTGCATAAATCTCCCCCGTAAATACAAAAGAATAACAATAAAATAGAAAATTGTATAATGTTATGGAAAAATATTTATGAATGAATCAAATTTTTTTTTTTTTTTAATTGTGATTTTACCTATTGGACATTAATGTGTTATATTAATATTATTACTATACGTAGATAGATATTAATAATATTTTATTTAAAAAATAATAATAAAAACTGACTCAACATTGAAATATTGTATAATATAATCGAATATAGGTATTTAACTATTGCTCAAACGAATTTAATGATTTTTTTTTTTTTTTTAAACATTGTATATTAAATTAAATATTTTAAAAGTTACCAACTAAATTTTTATTTTATAATTACTGATTTTAACTCAACTTCATTGAAATTCATCATTTGCATTTTGTGATCAAATACAAAATGTATTAGTATATTTTCAGTTAAATATTTAATAGAATACAATTCATATAAGTTCAATCATACAAATAACGTTAATAAAAAAAATGATATTACGACAACACATCATGAGTTTATTTAATGTGTAAATATTGATAAATATTAGAATAATAAACTGAAATATATTTGTTTATACTATAGTATAACCCAATTAACCAAAAATGTATAAATAAATCAAATCAAATAAGCTATCTATGGTTAATTTTCATTTAAAATACTTAAAATACTCAGAAATAACCATTAACTATTTGAATTTAATTAGGTAGGTTAGGTATGTTATTTAATAATGCCACAGCTGGATAAGTTAACTATTTTTTTTTTTTAACTGATTAATAGATAAGTCAGTATAGAATAATATAGATTAAATTTAAAGTTTTAAGTTTAAAGTTACATTTAATTGTTTTTAACTGGATAGTAAAAACCTATGTTAAACCGTAGTAAAAAATTGATAAGTATTTATAAATATACAAAAATAAAAATAAATAGTAAGGGTAATATACATTATAAAAGAATAATTGAATTCCAATGATAAAATCGTTTAAACAAAATATATTTACTATTTGGGTAAAACATTTTTTTTTTTTTTTATTGATCGCTACCTCAATTTCTTTTCTACATCAAATATAGATTGTATGGTAAGGTTATTTGTTGAGAGATTTTATAAAATGCTGTCACTATTTACAAATGTTAATGCCATTGCTAAATAATCCATAATTAGTGCATTTAATATTTCAATAGCCTACAATTTAACATTTACAAAACATGTAACATTTTAATTACAATTTCCGATTTTATTTTTTTTATACACATTATACATACCTAATATAAATTTATGCATTTGTAAAAAAAATATATATAAATATTAAATTTATGAGAATGAAAATTAATTAGCAGTATGTCAAGAAAACAGTCTTCAATATTAGGTTAAAAGTTAAAAAAAAAAAAAGTCGTAACATAGCTTCATTAAAATTAACTTAACTTTAACTTCTTAACTTGTTAATGCCCAGATTTAAATAATGAAACAATTGCATATGAATAAAAAAAATATGCAGACCGTGCTATAGATTCATTGTACAAAATAAAAAAACACACACGTCATGTTCAATAGATAATAATATCTTCTAACCATTTATAAAATAAGTTGTATAAAGTATAATATAATAAATATAATAATTTTTTATACTATATATTATAGGTAATTATTATCATGTAAAAAATATAAATTATATTTCTGATTTTCAAAATAAAATTTTAAATTATAATACAGATAATATTTATTTTACTTATTTAGATTTAAGTTTTTATGATTATTATATAATGTGCCTAAATCTAATATTTAATTTTTTTTGTTTCAACATTTCGTTTATCTCATATACAGTCATACTTGACCTAACCTTATTAACTGAAATAACGAGAATAACCATTTCCATAAGACTTTTTTCCCAAATTTAATATAGTGCGAATGTTCTATATAGCTTAAATTTTAAACTGTAATTATTGCGATATATCAGCATAATATTTACTATAGGAAATATGGGTAGAACTTAGTTTCGTAAAATAAAACTTTGTCACAGACTCCAGAGATGTAAAATAAGTAAAAGAAACAAATCATCTAAATTTTTTATAAACACATAATTTTTTGCTTTATAGATTTTAATTAATGTTCAATTTTAAAAGTACCTCGTTTCAATAAAAATAAAGAAACAATAAGACATTCATCTTTAATATAAAATCTATAAAATAAATTTCATTAATAACTACAACTTTACTGTATATAATATGTTATTAGTATAAAAAACATAATTTCGAAATAAAAGTTACAGTATGAATAAAAAAATAATATCAAACAGTTTTTCATTTTCTCGGTAAGATTCAAAATTATTTTGAAATAACCGCGGGAATTCAAATTGAACAGTCATTAAATTTAAAAAAAAAAGATAAACAATATTATTTTAATATTTTTTATTATAACTTTAAATAAAAGTTTCACAAAAACAGGTAATAGAGGGAAAATTACTTACTGATAACAGTTATTATTATTAGATTACAATAAGGAACTTTAATTATTTAGTTATAAAAAACTCAATCAAAACTATTAATATTTTTTGTTTTGTATTTTAATTAAATATTTATTTGATATTAATTATCAGTGTTTTAATTTTATTTGTTTTTTATTAACTATAATCTAAACGTATCTCTTCCTATATAATTTACGTTATATAAGCTTAAATTTCTAGTTTTATAACTAAATTTGTCTTACATTGTACATAACTTTTGTTTGTTGTTGTTATTATTATTATTATTATTATTATTATTATAAGGAGATATGTATAAAAAAAATTGAAACATAATAAATAATAATATTAATTATTGTAATAAATATTGAATAAATATAGGTATTTTTTAAAAATGTAGCATCAATTGTATCTGTTTTTTTTTTTTTAATTGACTTGATTAATTAAACTATTATGCTGATTATAATTTAACTATGTACTTAATTGAAGAAAATCATCTAATAATGTATATACAAATTTGTTATGTAAAAATAAACTAAAAATCATTGCCGTAAATGTAATTTAAAAGTCTATTTATAATTTATACAACTATCATTCCATTATATTGTACCTACACTATTATAATTTCGGTTGTACAAATAATTATATCTATTGGTTACTTTTGTAAATTTAGGTATTTGTTATAAATAGTTCACCGTAAAAACTGATGTTGAATATCAATCTAATATAATTAATAAATTGCAATACTACTCTACAAAAAAAAAAAAAAATTATCACCATGTAGTTATACTTTACATAAGTTTTCTACGATAAAACAAAGAAGTATTATAATTATTTGTAAATCAACTTATCCTGAATATGACTTAAATAAGTACTTATAATAATACTATATTAATAGCCATATGGACCTATAAAATACAGTAGACGCCGCTTATAAGACTCACAGATATAAGGTTCAGTCGCTTATTAGACTCAAAATCGTCTGGAACGGTCTGGACGTATCCAAATACATTAAAAAAAAAATCGGTTATAAGACTCAAATTTCGTAAAATAAATAGTAAAAATAAATTTTTTTGGTTATAATTTAGAAATAAATTGGTATTGAAAAATTAAATAATATTCGTGTTGATTATTTCTAGTTTCTGTTGGTACCTTATAACATATAATAATTTTTATCGCAGATAAAAGTTCACATTTATCGCAATGATAATTGTTATTATAGTGTACTGATTATCTGGCGGCTGCACAGTTATCGTAATTACGGGTACATAAGTACATATACGTACACGTGCACATGTACGTATATGCAGTTATCATTGCAGTCAACGGTATAATTGTTGTACAATGAAAAATTACAAATTTTGTTCAAAAATAATTTTTCAAAATAAATAATTTTTATATGTAATATTTACCTATTATAATTTTAGTTTTTTTTTTATCAGGATTATTAAATTTATTCAATAATAAAGTATGTAATATGTAATATGTGTTAATGTATTAAAATCAAAGCAAAATATGTAATAAAATAAAATTTATAAATACGTAATTAATATTTTTTTCCACTTCGCCTATAAGATTCATTCGGTTATAAGACTTACTTTGTGCTGGTCCCAAAGTGAGTCTTATAAGCGGCGTCTACTGTATAAATAAAGTGAAAAATGTAATTAATTTCGTTTCTCAATTATAATCGTGTATAAAGTGTCGTACCCTATAGAGGTGTAGTCAATTTTCATCAAAATAAAGATGTCATTTGCATCATCTCAGGTAATGATAAATAGGAAATGTAATTTGTATGCACCAAAATTAAAATCGATGATTATCAAATAAGTACTAACAAAATAATAAATATAGAAGTTTCAATAATTGAGTATATTTTATTGAGGTATGAGAAACTATATGACACAGAATATTCCGTTTGTAGACTCTGAATGGTAATTTCACTTATCTATTAAGTATACACCGTCATAATAACAAACACTTATTATTATATAATATTATAAAAATTCAATATTTTAGGCAAAAATATAATTTAGTATGTATTTTTGTGTTACTAATGACAAATGTTATTATTATAAAATAAATGAGTTAATTAAAACTAGTATAAAAAATATTGATTAAAAAACTTTATGAAGTTTAAAAAAATAAAACAAATTTATGTTGCATTGATTACCAGATTGATTGAGTTAGACTCAATGTTTTTTTGGTTAAATTAAGATGAAATAAACTGGAAATAATAATGTTTTGTTTAAAAAAAGTTAGCTTACATATAATTCGGTTTTTATACTTACGGGTTTTTTTGTATTTGTATGCAACTAATTCAATACGAATGAAGATTTTATTATTAATTTATTTTTATACTCTGACCCAAAGCAACTTGAATTTGATTTTTTCGTTCACTTGTTTGAGAAGTCGTTCGGTTAGGTTTATGTTTACTTGATAGTCATATGTACGTATCTGTTTGAAAATCAGTGATAACTTTAATGAAGTTGACCATTTAAGGATGTGGATGATAAAATTCTGAATTAAATTCACTGTGAAAAAATTCACAGGCATTAGTTGTTACTTGTAAGTGTAGACAATAATAATGTAGCTGCCCAAATATATGGTGGAAATAAATTATTGTCAATTTAATAGTCAATCAATTAATATCCAATTAACATTTGTAATCTTATATCGGCTAGGGTTATTGATATAAAGTCATCAACAAAACATAAGCTTTCTTCATTAGGATTTAAAAATATTAGCCCGAAAACATTATTCAACAATTGGTTTTCTGGTACCTATTAGGTATATCATTTTTAAACGCGTAACATAATTCTAAATTTTGTAATTTTCTATACCAAAACTGACTGCGTTAAACGAAAACGACATTGAAACAAATTGACAGTATTCCAAACTTCTAGTAATGCGACACGAATCGATTCTTCAAAATCGCATACAATGATTTTAGGTTTTAATATCAGACCAACATTTTAACATTCATAAATCAAGATATCAAAAATATGTATGTATGTTTGTTTGGTTTTATTGGATAATAGTGAAAATACAAATAAAACGTAATGATTATTAAAATATCCGTGTAAAGTAAAAAGTTGAGTAAATAATTTTAGACAGTATTTTTATGTCTCATCTAGATATATTTTTTTACTTTTACACATAAGAAATCAATATTCGTTTGGAAAGAAAATATCATTATATTTAGATCAGAATTATTTGATAAAATAAATTGATCACCTTTATATGTTTTAACATCCATAGTCATTAGTTACCGGCATTGTGTGTACTTCATTCAGTGATAATGGATATTTTGGCTGATTTTTCTTGTGATGTTTCTCGTTGGTCGTTCCTTTGTTTTACATAATTGGTTCAATTTATAAATATATAAGCTTTTCTCATCGTGATTGACGTGTGCACTTTCATCATGGACGATCGTCATATTTTCACCACTAGAAAAATAATTTTGCAAAACATTTTATTCTTGTGCATCGCCAATGAATCATGTTCGTACTTTTCATATTTCATATGCAAAATAAAAAATATGATTATTGTTCTCTTAAATATCTTCCCCACGATTACTTTTTATTATATTAACATTCATAATGCAAAACACTTTTCATGTAAAAAATCACTACATGGAATGATATTATAACTATCACGATAAAATGGAAAGACTAAAGGTTAGGTCGGTTATTTGGTCGAAATAATAAATTGATATACATATATTAACATATATATAATATACATTTTATATTACGCGTAAATTTAATAATACTGTATTATAAATTATAGTGCTATGAACCATGATTATGATTGAAAATCGGACGTCAAACTTCAATATGATTATCGGATTAGGCAGCGTTCTCAAAAAAATCTCAAAAAATTATTATTGTCACTTGAGTCTGTCAAATCTAATTCATTAATAACTCTCAATTTTTTTTACAAAATATAGTTTATATTCAAATAGTTCAAACATTTTATAGCTTTAACTATCGATTACCATTCGTTAGTGTTCATCACTAATAGATATACATTTTTGTGCAAATTATAAACACTATTTTTAACTACTTACGGTGGTACAAATAACACATCCTTGTTTTAATGCAAATTACATGCAAATACTATTTTCGGCTACCTGCAATGGTGCAAATTACAAATATTTATTTTAGTACAAATTACAAACTTACCTTTTTAAGTTGTAATTCATTAAAATAGGCTCACATAAGATATAGGTAATTTGAATTTTTCTAAAAGGATATTTTTAGTACAATTTACAAAAATAAATAAATTCTAAAAATATTTCTTATGAAATTCTGAGTTTGTAATTTTTATGAAATTTAATATTCACGTTTAAATGACGATTTCTAATTAAATTATTTAGGTACTATTATTTTGTTGTCATTCAAAAACTAATAACTATAAATACTTAATATTTATAGTATCATTTTCTAAGCATTTTCAATTTTTTAGTTTTTTCTTATTTATATCAATCTTAATAATTCTGTACAAGGTTTCTCGTAAGTTTTTATTATAGCTATTTATAAATATTTAAAGTCCATGCTCCAAATAGGCATGATTTTTTTTTTATATTTTTTATGTTTAAATATTAATAAATGTTATACTTTTCAATTTTTATAGCTTAAGATTAAACATTTAACACAATCCCTTTTAAATAATTTCATGTTATAACTAATAATTTATAAGCATGCACACTTTTTTTTAACTGGACAAAGTTAGATATTTTAACGAAGAATAACAATTTAATCATTTAATTATTTTACTATAATTTAAAAACATTATTTGTGTGCATATTATACTGTGTATCCTCTGAATAGTGGACATTTTTGGTCATCGAAATTTCCTTCATTATTTAGAAAGAGTAGATTTTTAAAATTCTTAAAGGTAAATGTTAAAGGAAAAACGTATATACTAGGTAGCTAGGTTAAATTAAATTAAATTATAATATTATTATTTAATGTTTTAATGGTATAACAATTTTAATATTTTAACAATACGTACTTAATATTTTAATAAATATTAAAAAAATTGAAATATATATACCTACACATAAATACAATTCAATTAGACATGAAAAATTGGTTTTTGAACGAGTTTGTTGTTTTTATATTAAATAAATAAGCCCAGTTTTTTGTCGTAATTTTCTTATTTTTTTAAATTAAGATAAAATTCGTATCCGCTTTTTGGAAGTGTTCTACCATTAAAAAATATTAAAAACTTCTCCGTTCTCAAAAAAACATCAGGTACGTTAGAGTAGGTTTTACAATATTATTAACAAATTGATGGAAGATATACTTCCTATCCTGTTATTAACCATAAATTTACTTTCTTTAATCTATCTTTTTAACATCAGTACATATTTTCATCTTTAGTTTTAAAATGGTCCTTTTCGTGATATCCGTTTACTACAATAAACGAATACAAAAAAAATTAAGAATATATTTTTGTTGTTACTTTATTTCATCAATTATAAAGTATTTTGTAAAAGTTTAACGGTACATTTATGAATGATAAAATATATACATATATAGAGGCGGCTTAAATATGCAAAAAGACTAAGGCTTTGCCACAGTCCATGTTTAAGGTTGGTAGTGTGGGGGTCATTGTTAATAATATAGAAATGTTTTTAAATAGATGTAATTAGTGTAACTTATTATTTTTCTTGAAATATTTTAATATTTTATAAGAACTAATAAGACATAAAAAGATATTGTCTCAATACTGTAACTATTATTAGATTTTTGTAATTTGATAATTTTTATTATTATAAATCAACCTAAACGCCAAAATATATTAAGTTTTGCAAATAATTGAGGAAATATAAATTCAACAAATTGGCTAAAATATTTGGATCTATCTTTCTTAAATGATATTAACTTGAACTTAAAAAAAGGTAATAGACAAATTTGCCATGAAGCCAAATCTACTATGAACTGTTTTATTATATGAATACGTAGATTCTTATTAAACATAATACCTTGTTACAATATTTTTATCGTTTAATGAATGCACTAGATAATACTAGTTATATTACCAAGATTTTGCCTGATTTACAAATAAAATATATTTTATGAAAATATCTTTACAACGTAAATGGAAACCTTTAATTTAATGTTTATTTATATGATACATACCAAAAATGGCCACAACAAATTTTATTTACATTGACAGTTTTTGATATAATATTTAAAATTTAAATATGTATTTATTTTTATTTTTAATTATTATTTAATATTATATAGATATATTGCTCCACATTTTATACATTTTATTATAATTCATAACTAATTATCTTTTTTACGATAATCATATACATACAGTAATATGAATTTTTTTTAATTTTGGCTCTTCCACATTTATTAATATATTGGGCAACTCGCAAGTTTCTTTTTGCTGGCTACCCTTAATATATATAATGTAATTTAAATTCTTAATCAAAAATATAATTTTTGAGCTATTATAGTTAATACTAGTAGCAAAATAAAATAAATACAAAAACATAATAGGTTTATTGAATTTTCTAATTTACTTCGACAATGTAATTGCACTTAGATCTATTTAAGTGTTGACAAATTGATATGGTCTATGGAAGGTGGCAGCGAGGGCATAAGAGAGGAAGGTAGTGGGTGATGGTAGTGATGGTGACAAGAGAAAGAAGAGTAGTGGGTAGAGGTGGTGGCGGGGCAGGAGCAAGTTTTTGAATTGTCTATTTCAATCTCCTTAAACATGATAGCTGCCATTCCGCATTTCACGTTGGTTTTTGTGAAAACGATCCAAAAAGTGACTAACTTTTTTAAAGTAATTGCATTTCTTTAGTTATTTCTATTAAAATAGACCGCTAAAGACAATTTACAAGATAAATATATACATAATTTTATACTCATTTTAAGGTATGCACTTATTTCGACTTACATTGATTGAAATTTTTGGTGGAATAATTTGTATGCTTTTTTCCATTATCCTAAAAATTTAAACAAATATGATGAATATGTTCTAATAATATTATGTTATATAAATGCAGTTTTTATACATAAATTATATTTATGATATATTAAATGTATTATATAAATATAGTTTTTATTTAATATTAAAATGATTAATTATAAATTATTTTTCGTCATCAATTATCAAAATATAATATACTTAGGTATGACTTTCTTTCAGTGAATTGAAATTTATTAGCTTAGAATTCTGAAAACAGTTAATTTTTTATAATTTCTTCTTTATTAAGTTCTTATTACTTTTTTTTTTGCAATCAAAATGCACTATACAAATAAATTTAAGTCAAGCAATTTATATAAAACATTATTTTATATCGAAGCCTAACTATAATAATTAATATACTTCATTTGTTTTTAAGTTTTTCGACATGTGAAATAAAATCTTTGGTGCCACCTTTATCCCTAATTCCAACATTTTGTCGACTAAAATGTTTGTTGGACTAATTTATTGGCTATTATCAGAGGCGAGGCGTGAGTTTTTAGCTGGGGAGACATTGAAAAAAAATGAAATTAATACGCCAGGACTTAATAATAGGCAATTATAACAATATAAATTACTTCTTACTTGACAACCAGTAAACTTTTTATACTTTTAATAGCACATGAATTGAAATTATCGAATTGATTTTTTCTTAACTCATAGCTGCCGTTAAATTTAATAAGAAACATGGTCTTTTATTTTTTTTATTTTTTTTTTTTCGTATGAGTAATTATAATTCCGTCGTTCAAAGTGGCATTAATTAAATCATAGGCCATGAGGAAAAATTACAATATAAAAACAACAAATATTAAGAAACACGTACCTATCGGCTATCAAGATTTGCAGGGTATAAATGGCGACGTCGATAATTAAGGAAATACGAACGACGGGATAAGTCTCATAGCGTTTATAGTAAGCCCCACTCACATTAAAATCCCCGCTGTACCCACGTGTCCGTAATTGATAGACGTAACACTACAACGTCTCATTGGTATAATACCTTCCATAACATATTTTGGAATGACCTGTATGGACAGTCGTATCACACACAACTAATCTATTTTAAAACTTCTATAATACTATAACTTATACAACAAAAACCGATTCTAACAAATAATAAAACATACATTATATTTATAATATAAATGACGTTCAAATTAGTAAATATTTTATAAAACAAAATTATATGTTCCATGTTCTAATTTTTAAGCAAGGAGACAATGTCTCATTGTCTCCTATCACACTCCGCCACTGAGATTAATAGTTGTTTAACTATAAAAATAAGAAATATTCAAAACTATAATTTTATTGTTTTAGAAAAAATGTTCATTTTATTTTGCCTGAAAATTGTGTAAAAAACGCAGTTGTTATATGTTGACACATTGAAACATTTGCACATCAATAGCTTTGCACAACAATAAGTTATAATGGATTATAAACTATAAATATATAATCTTAAAATAATAGGGTATTTAGGATAAGTATATTTTAATGTAAACATATTGATGTGTTTTCTCTACTAAATTAAAATTAATTGATTTATTATCATAAAAATAAACAGTGTTGATTATATATTTTTATATGATTTAATATAAAATCAATTTGCTTGTTATGATAATACATAAATGTGTAATTATAATCTATCAT